CCCAAGAGCCTGAACGAAGCCGCGTTCGTTACCTGTAATGAGGAGTACGCAAAAGCCATGGAAGACGTCTATAAGCGGTTCCCTGATGACATCGACATCACTTGCCTCTACGCTGATGCTCTCATGAATCTCTCAGCATGGAATCTATGGGATCTCAAGACGGGTGAACCCACCCCTGAATCACATGCACCCAAGGCAAAGGTCATACTGGAAAAGGCCCTACAAGACATTAGCTCCCAGGAACACCCTGGTCTGCTCCATCTGTACATCCATCTGATGGAAATGTCAAAAACCCCAGAAGCAGCATTAGCCTGTGCAGATCGTCTGAGAAGAGTTACCCCGGATGCCGGCCATCTGGTCCACATGCCGAGTCACATCTGGATCCTGGTTGGTGATTACGGGCGTGCCATTGACTCGAACGCAGATGCATGCTTGGCAGACGAGAAGTACGTCGCCGAACATGGGACACAGAACTTCTACTCCTTTTACATGATGCATGACTATCATTCGCTCATATACGCGGCAATGTTTGCGGGGCAGTACAAGGTTGCAATGGACGCTGTCAGTCGCATGGAAGCCTCGCTACCTGTGTCACTCCTGCGCATTGAGAGCCCGCCCATGGCAGACTGGCTCGAGAACTTTTCGTCGGTACGCGTCCATGTCCTAGTGCGCTTTGGGCGATGGGCAGATCTGATTGCACTTCCAATGCCCGACGATAAAGGTTTACATTGCGTTACAACGGCTATGATTCATTACGGCAAGGGAGTTGCCTATGCCGCTACTGGTGATATCGAGAGGGCACAGGAGGAACGTGCCGCCCTGGTTGCGGCAGTAGAGCGGATACCGTCCTCCCGTATTTGCGGGGACTTTCCAAACAAATCCAATGTAGTGCTCAAGGTCGGTATAGCAATGCTGGACGGCGAGCTCGAGTACCGGAAGGGCAATTTTGAAGAGGCCTTCAAGCATCTCGAAACAGCTATTGACCGGGATGATGCGCTTACCTAGTAGGAATCCCGCCTCGTCCATGAGATGTGAGTGAGTGTACTGACATGGGGTCTCTTTAGTGCCGAGCCATGGCCCTGGATGCAGCCAACCAGACATGCGTATGCCGCCTTGCTCATGGAGCAGGGCCGAATAGAAGATGCAGCAGGTGCTTACAAGGCTGATTTAGGGTTTGACGACACTCTCCCTAGAGCAAGACAGCACCCGAATAACGTTTGGGCTTTACACGGCTATCACGAGTGTCTGCTGAAGCTCGGAAGGGTCGAAGAAGCAGGGATCGTAGGGCAGCAATTGCGTATCGCACTTGCTGTAGCGGATGTAACTATCGATGCCAGCTGCTACTGTCGGCAGGGTGGGAACGCATAGTAAGTGAGTGGGTACATTGATACCTAGAGTAGGACCGGTTGCGGCTATCACCAACAATGGCGTCTCTGGTTCTGCCTCCACTTGGTTGCTCAGACCCTGGTGATGGTTGAGGGCGATCTCCCAGCATCGTGGGATCACGGTCTTGGGACATTCCTATGTGGTATAAGCGGGAATTGCTTTCAATCGATCCATGGTTTGGAGAGAGCTTGGCTTGATCACTGTGGTCGGATGCCGCACCCCCGATTGCATCGTACAATCAGATTACCACGTGCGTGGCTGTAATGGTTCCCCTTTTGCTTAATTTACGAATTGCGTATAGCAGGCGCCTTGGATATGCGTCGGAGGCGGGCTCCGACACCATCCAGACGCAAAGGGGGCGAGGCGAAGGACGACCTACTATGTACCTGGACCAGCCGTGGATGAGAGGGGGTCGGCTGTCATTAAGCCGCGCTGACTCGTCCAATCATGACGATCAGCAACCCCGGCACTTGGACAGGCGTTTCACGATCCAATGCTAACCAAGAGCAGAAGGTCGCCGACTCTACCCGTATCCTTGCACTCCCACGTTGTTGGCCATGCTTGATCTCGCTTAACAGCAACCATCTGAAATGTCATCCCAACACAGCACCTCGCAACCACCCATCCTCACCCGGCTGTTCCTGCAGGAATGCGGGCTCCTCACCCAGCCTGTGCCCCACGAGCGCCCTCTACTAAGCTACTCACCTTGAGAAATATGGAACCTAGGGCAGGCGGTGGATCCAAACAGCCCTAGGCATGCATCGCGGCCCCCGGAACGTAGTCTCTGACTCTCAATGTGACAGCGGCAATTGAATCATTAAGCCGTTAGATCCCCAGCTGATTAAGGCTTCTCTTTGTATGCATGGTCATGGGTCTGGATCTTCACAAATTGCGGTTATCAACTCACTTGCAATCCTTCGCTTCATTAGGCCTAGGGACTATGATTGCTAAGGCTGGCTCGCACGAGCTGCTAGGATGACAAAATTGCTCTAACTCGATATCCCCTGGTCCCTCTTTGGAGGGATGACAGTTGGGATCAGCGTTGACTGAGCTATGGAAGCCATGTTTTGGACGCGGGCGGGCACTCTCCCTCCCGTGTCAAGAATAGCGCCGTGGGCCGCGCCTCTCCCTGGGCACCCATTCATTGAGTGCTGGCGAAGCGAACTGTTTGACTCGCCATGCTGGATACCCAATGCTCTGGCACCAAAATATATGGAGCATAACTACTCCAGATTCTGCTGCGACTTGGGTGTGAACCAGATTTCCCCGACATTGCGCCATCACCATGGAATCACTACACGAGAACAGGGGGCCGGAGCTGCAAGCGGTATGTAGAATCACTGACTGTAGACATGAGATTCACAGAACTGACGGTAGCAGGTGTGCTCGACATTCGTTTCTCTTGCCTTTGTAGCCACTGTTTTGAGGGTCTACACACGATCTCGCATCGTCAAGGCTTTCGGCGCGGATGACTGGTGGATGGTGGCTGCACTTCTTTTCCATGTCATGTTTGCAACTTGCGCAATAGGCGGTATTCATTATGGCACTGGACGCCATATGAGAACGCTTACGAACGAGCAACAGTACAAGGCTCTTCGGGTAAGGTCCTCGAATTTGTAGCTTCGCCGACTCAAAACTAACAGTAGGTGTAGTATTGGTGGCTATGCTACATTGCCTACTGCTGGGCAATGATTACGTCCAAGATTTCCATCGGTCTCTTCCTTCTGCGCGTCACTGTCCAAAATATCCACAAGTGGATCATCTACATCGCCATGGCCCTCACCATGCTTACTGGACTGGTTTTCTTCTTCGTCACATTACTACAATGCACCCCAATCGCCTTCTTTTGGGACAGACAAATCAAGGGCGGCTACTGCGTCAATGTGGACATCATCATTGGCCTGACATTCTTGTACAGCGCCATCTCAGTTATCAGTGACTTTACCTTTGCGATCTTACCTTTCTTCCTCATCTGGTCATTGAACATGTCCACCAAGACGAAGGCCATGTTGATTCCGGTTCTCGGAATGGCTTGCGTGTGAGTAGAACCCATTTCCCCCTCTTTGGTTTTATAGCTGCTGACACACAGCCCCCCCAGTGCAAGTGTAGCAGTTGTCGTCCGCATGGCCTACGTTATGGACTTTAGAGATCCAGACTTCCTGTGGGCTACAGTGGACATTGCCATTTGGTCCGATATCGAGCAAGGACTAGCCATCACCGCCGGTTCCCTCGCCACTCTGCGTCCCCTCTGGCGAGAAATCGCAACCACGCTCAGCCTCTCGTCAGCTTTCAGCCCCTCTACGCCATCCGGTATGCGCACACCACAATGGAACGGCGACCCGACGTCGAGCCAGTCCCGCAAGAAACCCTCGATCTACAGCATGACGAGATCTCTCTTCCAGACCGAAAAGGGGACTCCATCAAAGGAGCTCGATGAAGACTATGGCATGGGCAATCTTGCGCCCATACGGCTACGAGATGATCTCTCTGCTGAGAACGAGAAGACAGACAATGGGTTCTCCACATGGCGGATAAAGGGCGGAGGAAGCAAGATTTCAGACGAGGAGTGCCGTATTGGGGAAATCACAAGGGAGACGTATATCGAACAGGAACGTGGAACCCGATGAAATGTCTGATTTGTACCAAAAAAAGCAAAGTTCAAAGATACGACAAAAAAGTCACCATAACAGCCCGAGGTAATTTAATTTGATGCCAGCGACGAAAGCGAAATATAGATTTGAAGCAGACACATTTCTGCGATAAAACACTCTCATTCTTTTGAAGGGACGAAAAAAATAGTTAATACTATAATCCAAAATCGATAATCTCAACTATCACAAACAAACAAACATCACATTCAGTAACTTTTGCAAGGAAAAGTGAAGTTGAACTCATCAATGACAACGGCAACATCTCACGCCTAAGTGACTTGACCACCCCCCACTACTACACCCGTAGCCCCCGAAGAGCCTCCAGCTCAAGCCCGCCCGTCAGCGGCGGCTCCCGAAACAAAGGCCATGCTAACACTAAGTAAAAAAAGTAAAAAAAAGCCACCACCAAGAGAAAAACTCCCCGAACGCAGCAGGATAGGATAGGATAGGACAGAAACCGCGCCAAAAAAAAGGAACGTAAAACTAGGGTCTAGAGCTATGAGAGAGACCCTTGATTCGCGTTTTCCCCTTAGTCCCAGTTTTTCCAACAAGGACGAAAAAGCAAAAGTGCCGGTCCGCGGAGCGGCACATTAGGGTCCTGACTAATATTTTTTTCACGTTTAACTCTTCCTCTTTCAAATCAGGGGAGGGAGGATGTGGAACTTTTGCCACGCGAGAAGCGAGATGCATGGGGGCCATGTTTCGTCGTTTGTGAAGTTAAACGAAAAAAAAACAAATTTCTTAACTATTAGTAGCGTGCACAAGACACAGACGACAGCGATGGCGAAAATGCCGAGGACCGATTCCCCCGACTACACCTAATTATGAAACAGAAAATCGGGGAAAATAAAAATGTCATATTGTTGACAATGTCCGCGGGTTTACTAGAGAATACGAGAGTGACAGAACCGTGATTTTTTTGAGAATACGGGGTGATGGGGAGAGACAAGTGAAAGCGCGGGATCAACGGACATTACCCGTTTTCGCGCGTAGGAAGTCCTCGACTTGCTGATCAGACGGTTCGACGGGACTATGGGTAGTAGTTTCCGTCGCTACTGTCGATGCCAACGATGAGGAGGAGGAGGAGGTCGAGGTCGGCGATTCAGGAGGGCTAGCGCTATCCTGTGCTGGCGTACAACTACTGGTGCTAGTGTCGTGGGCGGGAAGTGTTAGTCGTGCACCATTTCGAGCCGATGAGTCCGAAGGCGACGACGGCGCCGGACACCCCCTAGGTTCCGTTGCTCCATTAATACTGTCAGCTGCAGTCTCCATTTCTGCTCCACTACACTCCGGATCCTGTCCGCTTGCCGCGGTGCTATTATTTCTGCTATGTTGTTGAGAATGCGGCTGCGGATTGCTAGTTCGTTGGTTCGAGGGCGTCAGATCGCCGCGGAAGGGTCTCGACTTGCTCTCCGCAGCCTCCTTGTCCACTTTCCATATGCCGGCTTTGGGGTCAATCGTATAACCCTGTGGGTCGTACTGGACCAATTCCTCGAATATGGGGTCCTTGTCTACCCGTTTGAAGAAGACGGGGGTAAATGTCTCGCCTTTTGCTTGCTCGTCCTTACGCATTTGTCTTTGTCCATTTTCAACTTCGCTCTTGGCCTTAACAACGCCCCTCATATCCCCTCTGCGCAACGCGGAAATGACGTGCTGCCATGCCTTTCTCGACTCCCATGGATCTTGCTCGGACAGGTCAGGAACAGTCATGGGCTGTTGTTCGATGCTGCGTACGTCACAGGTCTCGATTTCCGTGCCGCTACGTGCATCTTTGATGGTAAAAGTGCTGTTCCACGTGCCTTCAAGGATGTAGATGATATCAGAAGGGTTGTCCTTGTGGAAGAAGCGCGCACGAAAACTGTTCTTTTGTCCGAACCCGAGCAGTGATTTGCCTTCAAAGTGTATGTGCGATATGTATCCATTGGAGCAGATGAGCGAGTAGTCACCGTAGAGTTCGGGGTGCGGAACGCCACTAAGAAGACCTTTGACTTTGATACTAGGCAAGGGAAGTAGATAGTCTTCGTCGTATTTATCGATATGGACTATCGCATAGCCCTTTTGCTTGATAGCCACGTTTCCGTTGAAAGTGATTTCCTGCTCAGTGAAACCTTCGGCGCGAATACCGACATGGTTGTTCCACAGGTAGCATGCAGTGATTGGCGGGTGATGTCCAACCTGCTCAGATACTAACCTGGTTTCGCCCAGGTCTTCCATGTTCCAGCCCCCTAGGAAAATCTCTCCAATAAAGGCATTCAAGGGCTTCTTGACGCCATCCTCTTCTTTTCGTCCTCCATACTGTTGGCCGCGTAGTGAACAAAGAAAGTTCTTCAATACGAGCAATGCCCGCTTTTCTGGGTTTTCCTCAGTTGCTGGTGCGGCCCAAAGATATGGGTGATCTGCCCAATATTGTGGTATCTCCACAGTCGAATTATCTGCGAGTACGAATGGCGGTGCAGTAATATTTGACAAGTCTCCCGAAATGGTCGCAATGGATGCCAGAAATTCTTTTAGGACGGACCTATTGTGGGTAATATCGTTTGACATATTGAGGTATTCACAATTAGATTGCTACCGCTTGTTGTGATTTCACAGTAATTAGACCTGTCACTGGTACGTAGTTATGCTGACAGTAAGTTGGCCTGTGACGGTGCCAAGTCATGACGTCAATGTATACTAGTGTAAACGGATTCAGGCGGCCTGGCGGTGCAGGAACGATTCGGGCGCACCATCGAGATTTTGTGGCGGTTGATCTCACAGACTGACGCGGTCGCATGCGTCAGTTGGGTTTCTCTGCATCTGCAGTACTGCTTAGAGCAAAGTTCGCCGGCTGTGCCCTCTTATAATCCTTCCTCAACCCCACCATTCTTATTCTACTCGGCCGTACTGCTCTTCTACCAGCTACACCCCAGCTGAGTCTTGTGTAGATTCCTCGGCGCATATGTGGAGTGGTGTCACATGGCAGTGTAACTCATGATAAACGTATGCGCTCATCTCATCCGATGGCTTGATCTGAGACGATTTGTTACTTTTTCCTGTGAGTGGAATTAAGCGATTGTTGTTGTTGATGATGTGTTGTAGTCGAGATGATAGTTCCTTTGACAGGTCGTCGAGCATTATATAGGTGGTTTATTGGGGAGTGTAATTGTTCGCCAAGATTACCTCATAAACGGCTATCGCTTACCGCATTTGAACGAGACCGAGAAGTCACCCCAAGCTACCAAAACAATTTCCGAATCAACATTTAACGATGAGTATATTAAGTGCATCCATCTAGGAGCGGCAAACTATGCTGGAAAATAGGTTTACAAAAGGGTAAAACGAAACTTAAGATCCCGGTCAATTACGCTTCGTTGCTCATGCCCAATCCCAAAAACTCGAATAATATAGGGTTTCCTGCAACAGCTATATAAGCAATACCTGATGTACGTTAGCGGTGTGCTTGCAAGCAATCGTGATTGACATACCGGTATAAACGATCAGCTTCGTTACAACTTCGACGTCGTAGCGTACTCGTGGCTTCGTAAGCATCATGAAAATCTCGCGCTTCTCATTCTCCTCTTCAGACGGCTCGTGTACAGTTTTGCAGACACCGCCTGCAGTATCTGTATCACTTTCTGGTGGTGTCACAGTGTTGGTCTCGGGCAATTGCACCTTACCCGTGCCCATCATCTGCTCGTATGAATGGACGCGAGATGCCATTGGCGTTGGCAGGAGGCGTGCACCAAGGAGCGGGTCCGATTTCTCCGCATTGGGTGTGTCGGGCATCGCTGGGCTTGGAACCCATGTAGAATTCTCTGGAACGGCACCATCTAGCGAGTTCACACTTTCACGGCGCCTGCGGTTGCGGTACGCAAGCGTCTCATATGCATCTGCAGCGGATTGAGGACCAACTGAGACGGATCGCTTGCGCGGCTGAGCGAGATTCTTTAACATATGTGGTAGCTCTGATGCAGGCGGAATGACATTATCGTCATCTGCAAAAGGTTTAATCGAACTGTACTTGGACGCATTCAAGAAGAATGCGCGAGGCATGTTCCAGCGAGCCTGTTCAAGCAGACGGAAGATTGGAGGCAGTATGGTGAACAGGGCAGGCTTCATGGTTGCTCTCCAGACGAAGATGACAACGACGCCCAAGAGAATGCGAATGGTTGCTTTGAGCAAGCCCATCTCGTGCAAGTCGAAGGGCACCGAGGAGGGATATGCATCTTGCAGGGCATAGCCCGTTTGGGCATAGTGCCAGGCACCAAGGTTTATGCCTATGACGACGCCAGCGAATGAGACGCTATCGTCGTAGCAGGGGCAATCATCGGCAGGCTCCGGATGGACGCGGACAAGAACACAAACTACCAATGTCGCGATGAAAATGTGCAATGTGCTCCCACTAAAGACCCACGAGTCCATCCAGTCGCCGTAGACGAGCTGGAAGGCAGTGATGAGGGCGCCCATAACACTGCCCACTATGACGTCGAGAAATCCGTGCATGCCGCAGTAGAGGCGGCCGGCTATGATGGACAGTGCGTAAAAGTAGAAAAGGGCCTGGAGGCCCATGTTGACATTAGGGTTGTCCTGCTGGGCCGACTGGCGCAACGTGTAGATGGCATAAAAGGCCACGGAGACGGCATTGGCAGAGTGCGACGAGGGGAAACCGTATTCGAGCGCAGCCGAGCCCGACATGGAGATGCGGGCGAGAGGAGGTGAGAGGGGGCGGGGGAGGCAGAGCAGGTCCTTGAGGAAGCCGGTGCTGTAGACACCAGCGGCAAGCATGAAGACAGTCCTGTGCACGTCAGACATGGCAGCGCAGTCAAAGACAACAGCGCACGACATACGCTCGGCCAACACTGGTGTAGCCACACCAGAACTGGATGGGCAGGAAGACCATGAAGAAGGTGTGGGTGCCGAGGTTTGCGGTATAGGCAAAGTAAGAGTCGAGGAAGGGCGAGCGCAGCTTATCCTGCAGTAAGGCCAGCCACGGGGTCTCCCAGCGCACAATGGGGATGAGGCGGTTGCGCAGGGCATTGCGCCACTGGGGGAGCTGCTGGGCGTAGTGGTCGTGGCCCTTGTTGCCGGCGTCCAGCTTGGGTTTTGTCATGGCTGGCGGCGCCTCATGTTGCGGAGGCATAGCGGCAGCGGGCGCAACAGCGGCAGCGGGGAAGAGGAGGAGGAGACGAGGGAGCCGGGCGCGTCAGTCGCTTGTGCATGTCCAGGCGATTGATGCTGCGGCGGGCGGCGGTTTAGTTGTCGTCGTCGTCGTCGTCGTATGTACTTGCAGCCTTGGTGGTAGTGGTGGTGGTAGTGATAGTGGTGGAGTTGGTGGTTGTAGGGCTGTGCGCCCGCCGTCTGGCAGGCCACGGAACGAGCGACCAGGACAGGCGGGCGTTGACACTCGGCGCTAGCTTAGCGAGCCGCTGGCGCTGTAGCGCGGTTGCCATATGCGACCGAGTGCTGCCAACAATCAACATGCGCCTCTCTTAAGCCCCGACCACTCGCTCCCCACACGCTCTCCCGCTCCAGCTCTGCTCTGCTTTGTTCTGTGTGTCTTCATTCATACCCTCTCCCTGCTCACCATCCCGTGCAGCACCAGCCAGCCCGCCTGCCCACCACCACCACCACCTCTGGCGAGATACCACCGTATATACCCCATACACACAATGGCCGCCACCTCGCAAAACTACGACTACCTGCGGCGCAAGCAGAGCACAAAGTCGCCCGTATCATCAATGGGCCCTGTCCGCGGCCATGCCCGCACCCCCAGTGAGCGCAACAGCAATGGCACCGTTAGTTCATACGGCACTACCAACACGCGCGACACAGCAATCACCGAGCCACCCGCATACTCGAAAAAGCTCGTCGTTGTCGGCGACGGCGGCTGCGGAAAGACGTGCTTGCTCATCAGCTACAGCTCCGGCAACTTTCCAGAGGTATGTCAGCAGCGACAGCACCACCATCATCATCAATACAGAGACTAATGCGCCCCAGAAATACGTGCCCACCGTCTTCGAAAACTACATCACCCATACACCCCATCCGCCGTCCGGCAAGATGGTCGAGCTGGCCTTATGGGACACGGCTGGCCAGGAGGAGTACGACCGGTTGCGCCCTCTCTCCTACCCAGAGACAGATGTCATCTTCGTCTGCTTCGCAATTGATTGCCCAAATTCGCTAGAAAACGTCATGGACAAGGTAAGAGAGCTAGCTGAGCCAGCACATCCATGCATGCACTGACACGACTCAGTGGTACCCCGAGGTTCTCCACTTCTGCCCAACCACACCGCTCATGTTGCTGGGCCTCAAATCCGACCTGCGCAACAAGAAGAACTGCATCGAGCTCCTCAAGACACAAGGCCTGACGCCCGTCACCTCGGACCAGGGCCGTGCCGTGGCCGAGAAAATGGGCGCCGTCTACATGGAATGCAGCAGTAAAGAACAAGACGGTGTCGAGGAGATCTTCGACATGGCCGTCACCATGGCCGTTGGCGACGAGCACAAAGAGCAACAAGACCGCCGCCTCGGCACCGCAAACTCAACATCAAGAGGGAACACAACGACACCCATCCCCGCTGGCGGCGGCAAGAAGAAGAAGCGCAGCGGCTGCACCGTCTTGTAATCTCCATATGACGACGCTGGACGATACGATCAATATGTTTTAATGACCACACGCTGCCCGCCCTCCCTCACTGTCTTGACATGTCTCTTCCTTCCAACACATCATGGTCGAGTCTTTTCATGTACATGGTTTGGGGGCGTTTTTGGTTTTTCTTTGGCATGACAATGGACATAGCGAGTCCAAACGCCTACAATATCATTTTCCCTTTTCTTGTATCTGTATTCGGTATTTAGTATGAGCGCATAGCGAACCTGCTTTCTTGGCTTTGCCTGCGCCCAGGGAGTAAATGAAGCGCAGTCTTTTTTTTTGAACCATGCTCGATTTCCAGCCCTATGACAAGCATTTTACTAGTAGTGACTTGCTCAGGGGTATCATTGCATCATCTTCCCGTAACGCCTTGTTCAGGTTTATATGAACCATTCACCGTGCGCAACGCTACGCCGCGTCTTGTCGAGTCCTCGTCATGTTGTCAACAGGGGTCCTCTGCTCTTTCATTTTCTCTCATCGGGCACCTCCGTCTCACCCTCGTGCTCGGTGGCCCCCTCTTGCGTGCTTTCCTGCTGCTCGTTGGGGTCCTTGGCCATGACGTTCTCAAAGTGACTCCACAGCGACTCGACGGGCGCGAATTCGTTGCCGACCGACGTGACTTCTTCGAGCGAGCGGTTGAGTTTGTTGATGTTTTGCAAGACGACTTCTAGGCTCTGCGACCATAGTTAGCACGCAAGCGCTAGATTGTTGCAGCGACATTGGCGGGCCACAATGTCGGTGTGCAGACCGGAACATTGAACGCACTTGAGCAATCTCCGTCACCAGCATCTCGCGCTGCTGCTCGTAATATGTCTTTGGTGCCGCTGCCTCCTGGCCATTTGTAGATCCTACAAAATACGGTGGTGCCATGATGCTGCTGCCGCTGTGTTGATATGTCAAAGGCGAGCCTGTCGCGTCCGTCTCCGGTGTTGCGGGGACCTTGCCCTTGTCGCGCTAGCTAAGCGAGGCTGCTGAAAAGTCGAGCTTTACCTTTAACTCTTTCCTTTCTCCTCACAACTTTCACGATGAAACCTCACAAGTGACAGGTAAGCAAAATCTTTTTTCGTCCTTGCTTTTTGCGCCTTATATGATGAATACCCAATAATCTGTCAATCCCCTGACTCCCACAAGATGGGACCATGGTGAACCAATATTGTATTCACACTCTGATCCTCTAGCCAACTCAGCGTCTCACCTCACCGCTACATTGACCTATAAGAAACTGACCTTTGCCTCGCTTCAGATCACACAATGGCGCAAGCGCCAGCAACCAACCCAATCAAGGAACCATTTCCCATCTCCCTCGTCGGTGGTCGCTACCTCCTCTTCGATGTGGACGTCATTGCGCACTGCCGTCGCGCGCACAACATCTGCGGACTCTTGGTGGGCACGATCCCGAACCTCAGTCAGCAAAACGTTTTTCTGGGCGTACCGCTGGAACTTATGCCGGAAGAGGCTCGGGTACTCGTCGATAAAGGCGCTGCGTATATCGTGGATGATGCGCAGTTTCATGAAGAGAACTTTGCGAAGATGAGCAGAGAGGACAGACTCAGGTACATGGCCGAGATGGATAAGAGAGGAGAAGAAGTGGCCAAGGAACAGAGAGAGGCTGCAGAGAGGAGGAAGGAAAGGGCCCTGCGCGACAAGGGTTTGAAGATAGACGAGGGTAGTCTTGCTGCAAGCTCGGTGTCTGAACAAACGCTCAAAGTGGATGACTCAAGTCTCTCAGGCTCTGGTCTGGGCTTCATCATGAAAGGATCGAGCTTCTCCGACTCGTATACGCCAGTGGAACTCACCAAGGTCGACCCGAGTCCTAGTATCATCAGCAGTTCCAGCCCTGTTAGCTCAGAAACCAGCACTTCTGATCTTGCGCACTCTGGTCTTGGGTTCATCATGAAGGGCTCAAGCTTCTCGGAGTCGTGGGTACAGGTCAAACCACCAAAGGTTGACTCTCCTGCACCTGCGCCTGCGCCTGTGCCTGCTCCTACCTCGGCCCCTGCACCCGAAGAGTCTCTCTTCGAACCAGTGTCTGTTCCTTCTGAACCTGAACCGTCCACCAAGGGCAACACTGTGAAAGGTGTTGCAGGTCAGAAGCATTTCGTCACGCCTACGACCTCATATCCACCCCTGGAGACCCCCGCTAAGGAGACTGCGGCCCCTCCCCCAAAGGTACCGGACAGTTACCCATTGTTCCGGTATTTGCACTCCAAAGGCTACTATCACATGCCTGGTCTGCGCTTTGGTTGCCATTACAACGTGTACCCTGGCGACCCACTTCGCTACCACAGTCACTTTGCTGCGACGGGTCTTGGCTGGGACCAGAAGTTTGAGCTTCTGGACGTAGTCGGCGGCGGGCGTCTCGGTACAGGAACGAAGAAGGCCTACATGATTGGCGGTGAGGATCCAGAAATAGACGCGAATGAGAAGGAGCCCGTCAGAGCCTTTTCCGTCGAGTGGGCGGCCCTCTAAGTGGCATCGCCGAGGAATAGGCCGATGAGGATTATGATTTTACGAATGCAATGCTAGACTAGAAGAAAAATAAACCCCAGTTCAATGTACATTGCTGTCGCTCTTGGAACTTTCGAATTACTTGTGAACATGCGCAGAGGATTCAATAGTAACAGTACCATCTGCGACTCTTGCTGGTGTAGATTCAGCTTGCGTGGTGATAGGATTACAGACCAGGTACAAAGTATCAAGATAGAAAAAACATGCCGCGGCCTGTGGTTCCTGCAGATGCGATCCACCAATAAGGCGAGTGCAGTTTGACCCCGCTAATCGACCCCACGCGAGCGGTTTGCCAAAAGTTCGTGACACTGCATGCCGTCCTATGCGCCACACCACAACAGCGCCATGGCTTTGCATGACTTGTTGGGACAGTTGCCGGCTGGTAAGTGTTTGAAATTCGATTCTGACATCCAGTCCTGACTTTGGTTTAGAGGTACTCCTCATCTGGCACGACCATCGGCTTCCTATTTTGCTCTCAGCGCTCGTAGTAGCGACAATTGCGCGCCTCATTATTTACTCGCGCGACCGAAGAGAGAAGCTACCGAAATCGCCCGTGCCTCAGTCACCTATCGAAAAGCAAAAAGTCGAGCTCAAGCCTGAATGGCTCCCAGAATACACCACGACCCTCACTTCTCCAGATCTCAATGTTGATAACCACGCCGAGGATGACACAAGCGCTGTGGTCGCGGCCACAAAAGTAAAGAAGGGGCCCAAGATGGTCAAGGGCAGAAAAATACCGAAGAAGAGCGTAACACCAACCCTGACCTTCGATCACAAAACGGACAAGATACAGCCCCTGGTCTTCTTTCAGTCGCTTTCAGGTACAACCGAGCGCTATGCCGCACAATTCGCAAAGACAATCACAGAGTGGACGACTGGCTGCGACCAAGCTTCTTCTTTCCTCGAACCTCAGACCCACGATATTTCGTACATTGAACACGATGACTATTTTATAACCCCACCAAAGGCCGACCCCAACGTCAAGTATTTCTATATCATCCTCATACCCACCTACAACATCGATACCGTCCTGGATATATTTATTGAGAGTCTTCAAGAAACACACAATGACTTCCGTATCGATACAGCGCCATTGAGTGGGTTACTTGGATACTCCGTTTTTGGATTTGGAGACAAGGAGGGATGGCCAACAGAAGAGGAAGGCTTCTGTAGTCAGGCTAGGGAGGTTGACAAGTGGATGGCGAGGTTGACGGGCAGAAAGCGAGCATATCCTCTTGGCATGGGTGATGTTAAAGGTGATGCAGAAAAGCGATTGGAAGAATGGAGAATTGGAGTTCAGGACGCGCTGGTCGAGCTTGCCGAAGGACGAGGACTTGGTGAGGGTGTACCAGGTAGTGGTGATCCTGCTGAGAGTGACGAGGAAGATGTGGATGACGCTGAAGAGGGAAATGGTGAATCTTCACGAGTTGACGACGTCGAAGACTTGGGCTCCATGGTCAACTCTTCGTCATCGCCGATACCCATTGATTTCACAACCTATAAGAAATCTGCGCCTAAACTCAAATCCGCCCCTGCTCCAAAGGAAATGGTCCCCACTACTTCTCCTACTCACGCTGCTCTCACAAAACAGGGTTATAGTATTATCGGCTCGCATTCCGGTGTCAAGATTTGCCGATGGACCAAATCTGCACTACGCGGTCGGGGATCCTGCTACAAATACTCCTTCTACGGTATCGCCTCGCACTTGTGTATGGAAGCAACCCCATCTCTATCTTGTTCTAACAAATGTGTCTTCTGCTGGCGACACGGCACAAACCCCGTCGGCACGACCTGGCGCTGGGTCACGGACGCCCCCGAGATGATTTTCGACGGCATCACAGCAGCGCACTACAAGAAGATCAAGATGATGAAGGGCGTCCCCGGTGTACGAGCCGAACGCTTCAGCGAAGCAATGCGAATCCGGCACTGCGCCCTAAGTCTCGTCGGCGAACCCATCTTCTACCCACATATCAATGAACTCCTTGACATCATGCACAAAAACCGCATCTCCACATTCCTCGTCTGCAACGCGCAGCACCCGGCCCAACTCGCCTCGCTCATCCCCGTAACCCAACTCTACGTCTCTATCGATGCCTCCAACAAAGACAGTCTCCGCAAGATTGACCGACCCCTCCACCGCGACTTCTGGGAACGCTTCTGCGCTTGCCTCGATATCTTACGTAACCGCCGCTTCGAACAACGCACCGTTTTCCGTCTCACGCTCGTAAAAGGTTTCAACATGGCTGAGGAAGTACACGGCTACGCTGATCTCGTCGAGCGCGCGCTGCCTGGGTTTGTAGAGGTAAAAGGTGTAACGTACTGCGGTACGTCTGCTGCGGGGTCCGCGGGACTCACGATGCAGAACGTGCCGTTTTACGAGGAAGTTGCAGAGTTTGTCACGGAATTGGAAAAGGAATTGAATAGTAGGGGGCTACAGTATGGTATTGGGGCTGAACATGCGCATTCGTGCTGTGTTCTTTTGGCGGATCGGACACGCTTTATGAGGGACGGGCGGTGGGCTACTCGGATCGATTTCGAGCGGTTTTTCGACTTGAACGAGGGGAAGGTACAGGGAACGCGTGTGGAGGACGGCAAGGTCGTGGGATGGAGGCCAGAAGACTATGTTGGTGATGAGACGCCTGAGTGGGCGCTTTGGGGTAATGGTGGATTTGATCCCAGAGATGCGAGGGTATATAGGAAGGGCAAGGGGCCAAAGGCAGAGGCGGAGAAGAGTGAAGGGCAAGCGGAACAGACGAAGAAGGTGGCTTTGGAGTTTTAGATTGTATAGCTAGAGATAACTTGCGAGTAGAGCAAGAAAAGGAGTTAAATAAAAGAGTTGATATCTTGTCATCTATCGAAGAGTAGTTCTAAGGTATCATGAAAATTAAAACGTACATGTCTCAAGGAAAATATATTGGGAAATCTAAACCATACGGATATCATAAAACGCCGATTTTGTTTTTTAAAAAAAAAACCCCCACTCATATCATCATGCTCGCTCAAAAAGAAGCGGCTCCTTCTCATCCACACTCAACCTCTCCTCGCTCTCACCTTCCCCCCTCCACTCCTTCAACCCCGCATACGTGCCCCCCTTAACAATCTCCTTTGTCTCGCCCACCGTCCCAAAACAACAATGCTCGACCTTGCCCAACGGCCCATCCCTCGGATCATCCTCAAGCAACACGCCAAACCGCAGCTTCGTCTTTGTTAGATCCTTGGGAAACGGGTCGCCACCGAGACACGCACCCACGCTTAGATGGTCGAGAGTAGGGTTTCGCGTTGTAACCATGATACGCGAGAAGAGGACATCAGACGCGACGCCGTTTTTGTACAGGGACCATGCGCCGACGAGGACAAAGGCGAAGGTGATGGCGATGACGATTGCGTAGCCGATCCAGAGGGATTGCATGTAGTAGACGTATACCATCATTGTGCGAGATTTCCCACAGGGCGCGTTTTGCGTTTCGGCAGCGACGAGGTTGGGGTCGCTGAGCAGGGTGATGATCATGTCTTCGAAGAGGTCCTGCATTTCTGTTTTGAGATCGACGAGCGGGTACGATGTGGTGCTGTTTGCGAGGCGGGTTTCGGAGAGATCGGTGTAGGTGATTAGGACGTTGTTTTTTTCGATTTTGCCGCGGAGGAAGCGGCGGAGGAGCATGCCTAGCGTGTGGTAGGTACTTGCTACTTTGTATTTTCCTACATCGTCGCTGGGCCGGATGAAGTTTTGTGCAGGAGAGGCGGTCCAGTCGTTTTGTTTCTCGTCCCATTGGACGGTCGTATCAACGACTGGAGCAAGGAAGTCGCGCTGTTTGCGTGTGGCGTTCTGTCGGGGGCTATAGTCCATTTCAAAAGTGTAGTTGGTATAGTGCATGACGCATTTGAACATTCTTGGTTCGTGGACGGTTTTCCATGTCTCGTAAAAGGGCGAATCAGGCGCGTATGGCTGGTAGGTGTTGATTGCGTAGCCTATCCAGAGATCGGGTTCACTCTGGATGACACCCAACATGTCGCCTTTGCTTTTCGGATCCTGGTAATGATAATCGCCTTGATCTACATCCGCATAGTAGGTAACGTTTCCTTTCGGCGCAAGTATGTCTATTGAGAAGGGAGCCTTGGCTTTGTCGGCATCGCTGAGATCATCGCATTTATATCCTGGACCTAAGAAATTGATCGAATAAGTGCAGTTCCAGCCTTCGCCGCAAAAAGACATGGCTGCGTTCTCGCGGGATTGTGGCTTCTGCATGTAGACGCTGCTAAAGGCCAGGCGCCGAGCGGTCTTGGAAGGCTGGTCATAATAATCAAACCAACCAGGCTGTTGAGCTTTGATATCCGTTGTATTGAAAAAGCTCAGAGATTTCTTGTAGAAAGATTTTTGGTCTCGAAAATCGTAATCTGCTTCCTGGCCAAAGTTGAGGCTGGCTACCGAACACGTTCCGTTCTCATGCAAGGTACTTAGTTGAGAGGTAAGTGACGCTGGAGAAAGAACAGAGGCCAGAGGTATCAACCTTTTCGTACAGGTCAGCAAGGTCAGCTTCTTAACGACCACTTGACTTACCACGTGCAAGCGGCCATCAATGTTGCAAGCTTGCCATTGCGGGTCATTTCCCAGTTCATGAAAAATTGCGTGGGATCCTCTGTTGCTGAAAACAAGCCATCGATGCCCTTGATTGTCATGGCTTTCCGTCGAAACGTATACCAGATACGTTGACGATTGCACATGATGACGCACCCCGCGAGCGTACTCTTAACAAAGAAGGCTAGTGCTGTGCCGTACCTGACCATCTTCAATTGAGCTGTAGCCGGTTTTCCGTCAAGATATGAATAGAACAAATGGTGGCCCACTGCTGCAGCAAAACCAGCCAGAAAAAGCGATATTATCATCGCAGGAGTGGTCCAGTATATGTGCCATTGAGCTAATTCGCCCGATCTTCGGTCTAGTATAGCCTGGGTATCGGCATCTC